AAGGGGACCAAGGAAGGGAAGATTCTTGATCCAGCCACACCTGGGTATTAACTGGGAGATAAGATCTCCCTGTCATAATGTCACAGTCACCCCAGAGGCACCCAATTTAAGGGGAAACTTCCCAAACCAGAATGAGTGAGGTAGACCTGACTGAGAGGCGGGGGGGCGGGGGGGATCATCAGGAACAGAGTTGGGCCCATCTGAGCCCACAAAGTACTGATTCCCCCCGACACACACCCAGCAGCCAGGCCAGGAAGCTGCTGCAGAGGAAGATTGATAGCAATTTTTGAAAATCCTACTCCTAACAGACTGCAAAGCATTTCAAGATGCTAAGATCTCATCCTAGAAATTTAAATGTGACTAATTGCAAAGTGGTTAAAGGTGGTAGAGAAGGTAATGGGACAGAGTAAGAATATCCAAAGGAAGTTGAGGCAGGTCAGAGATGATGCAGGGTACTCACGGGGCGAACATTTGGAGGAGGGCGTATGCAAAAAGAGGTACAAATATTTTCCCGGGATTTCCTCAGAGTTGAAACCATTTAGAAGACAATGAGTCTGAAACACATAGGCTGCATTACAACATACAGTGGCTGTGGCCTGACACAGTTCTGCAGGAGCCCCATCTCCCTGCACACTTCACCACCATTTGGCTTGAATTCTAAAGAGACCACTAAATCAAGAGGCACTGGTGATACTCAAGTGTCATCAGAGAAGGCCTCAAAGGCAGTGGCCCAATTCAAAGAAGTTTTGTTTATAATTTACAAACATACGGTTTTCTGTGGGTATGACCTACACAGTATATTATCTTCAGAGACACTTTATGCACATTAAAACAGGTGCTTGCCCTGAGCTGCCTGGGTGGCTCAGTCGGTTGAGCGTCCGACTCTTGGTTTCAGCTCAGGTCATGATCTCAGAATCATGAGATCGAGCCCTGCATCAGGCTTCTCACTCGACACGGAGTCTGCTGGAAATTCTCTCCCTCACTCTCTGCACCCCTCTTCATTCTGTCTCTCTCCCTCTTTCTCAAATAAATAAATAAATCTTTAAAACAACAACAACAACAACAACAGGTGTCTGCTCTATGTAGGTGAATTAGAGAGAAGTACTTTCTCTGTGGAGATGAGAACTCCAGGTTCATGACTTGGTATTTTTTAAATGTAAATTTTATTATTATTCAGATATGACAAGTCCAAAGAATCAAACAAACAATTGCCATTGAAAAGAAAGCTTAGTATGCTCACAGATTCCAAGGGGAGCTGACATATTACACCAGAGGGGCCACACACAAGGATGCACCAGGGTCAGTCATGAGGCAGAGGGAACAAGAGAAAGTGTGGGCAAGAGCCTTTCTTGTAGTTTCCATGGGCAGAAACAGCCAAGGTGGGGTAAACAGGTTGAGGATTAGCCAATCTGAGTAATTTCAATGGGGTCTAGGGCATAGGGCTCTCCTAGTTGTCTGGTACCTGGCACTTGGGGGATTGGGCAGTTGGATAGTAGCCCAGGGAGTGGGAGGCAGATAAAGATGGCAGCTGGGGGTAGGGGCTGTGGATTGTTGAGTTTGCCTATGAAAGGCACAAATCTCTAGGAACTGGCTAGCCTGTTTTGAATCTTAGGGGCAGAGTTAAAGTAAACTCCAGAAGAAGAGCCGGGATCTTTTATCTGGAGCCCAGATTAATTATACCCAAATCAGAGCAGTGAGAACAAAGACTTTGAAAATCAGAGTCAGGTTTTGTGTAAGGAAATCCTGACAGGAAGAGAAAGGTAAAATGGGTAAAGGCTTACCTAGTCTAGTAGCAAGGGGATGTGGGAAAGGCAGGCTGAGACAGGGGGAGGCTGGGAGACTGGGACGCTGATTGGGGGTGGGCAGGGATTACAGCAAGAGCAAAGGAGGATCTTGCCCCTTCCCTACCATTTCCCATTTAAGACTTTGGAAAGAGATCACCTCTCCAGGGATCCCTGTTCCAAGGTCAGGCACAGCCAAATGCACCTAGGGACCAGTGGGTGCGATACAACTGTATTGGCCCAGCATCTAAAGGGCAATCAAAGCCGGGGACACCTGGGGAACCCTGCCAGGGCACTCCGATCAATGCCACACCATACACGCTGCTAAAACAGGAAAAGCACCAGCAGGGTTCATCTGTGCTAGCTTAAATCTTTTTGGGGATCACGGTGATCCAAGGTGATCCAAGCCTGCATCTAAAGAGATCGGATGCTTCCCTCTCTCTAAGAGTTGTCTGCTATTTCCTCCGCCTGGCCCTTCCAGCTACCCTCCTCCCCAGAAGAAAAACAAATCTCACTCTGTCACCCTATGACTGTGTTTTGAATATCGTCTTTAGCAGTCACATTCCAGGAGAGCTGTGACCTTCCCTGATTCTTCTATGCCATTCACCCCCCAAAATACTTCTCTTCAAAGGAGATTTCTTTGGTCAGCCCTTAGTAACTGATATAATAAATGACCTATCGCAATCCTGAAGAATTAATGAGGCTTAATGCAGGAGGGATGTAGTAATTTGAATCTCTCAGAGAGCTTTCAAACCACATCTGCACAGGACACCTGGGTGGCTCAGTAGGTTAAGCATCTGCCTTTGGCTCAGATCATGATCCTTGGGTCCTGGGATGGAGCCCCACATCGGGCTCCCTGCTCAGCGGGGAGTCTGCTTCTCCCTCTCCCTCTCCCTCTGCCCCTCCCCCAACTCATGCGTGCTCTCTCTTTCAAATAAATAAAATCTTAAAAAAAATGGAAAACACGCAATTTAAAAACAAACAAGCAAGCAAAAAAACACATCTGCACAGCCCCAGAGATTCTGAATCAGCTCTCACACCCCTATTCCCACCCTAGGGGGATGGCCCTAGGGGAATGCCAGTGGACTGTGTGTTTCAAAAAAGAGTTTCTAATGAGTGAGAAAACCATGACCTTCAGGGAGAACCACTGGTTTAGAGTTTGCTGTACATTGACAGGAAAGATCTGCATTTGTAGTGCAATCGCGGAAACCAAAAGAAGTAATAAGTGTGGGTTTCTGGAACAGGGTAGGAAGTGCGCTCACAAAATGTCCTTGTACAAGTAGGGCCTACCCCTCAGGGTCCAAGCCTGTGGTCAGTCTCTGCACCACTCACTGTTCATCAGATGTACACTGGTCACTGGCTAAGCGTCTACATGGTGTAACTTCATCAACTCAGATTCTGGCTGGTGTGGGTGAGCTGTGATAGGTTTCCGTTCCCAGTTTTTGTTAAAATGCAAGTATTTAGCTTATAAGGAAAAATATGAACCTCAGTGAGTTAAAAATGAGTGCTAGAGTTATAGAGTCATTAGAATCTATTAAAAAATTTATTAACTGTGAGTTGTCCAGAATTCATATCAAGTATGATACGGTTTCATGAAAAAAAGCAGGTTACAAAACCAAAGGCAGGGATGCCTGGGTGGCTCAGTCAATTAAGCATCTGCCTTTGGCTCAGGTCATGATCCCAGGGTCCTGGGTTGGAGTTCCGCATCGGGCTCCTTGCTCGCCAGGAGCCTGCTTCTCCTTCTGCCTTCCGCTCCCCCTGCTTTTTGCTCACTCACACTTTCTCTCTCTCTCTCTGACAAATAAATAAATAAAATCTTTAAAAAAAAAACAAAAAAAAACAAAAAAAACAAAGGCAGAATGCGATCCCTGTTTTACATTTATATGCAGCTAATACCTATACAGGATGTGTGTGAGGGGAGCATATGGAGGGGATGTGAGCAGAGCTGGGGGTGTGGGGGGGGGAATGTGAGGGTGGGGGATTATATAGGAAGTACATGTGCAGTGTGCAAGGACCATGAGGGGTGGGGAGCGTGTGCACATGTGTGTGCGTGCTCTCATAGTCCTGGACACAATGAAAAACTATAGTGGGTCCCCACACTTCCAGAACCTGAAAGGCAAAAATGGAATGGGAGGGCTCTATCCCCACCCCCTCCCACCTGCCCCAAGTAAACCTCGATGATGTTTAAGAGCAAGGACTTTAGAGTCAGACCTTGTTTTAAATCCTAACCCAAAACTAGCTGCAGGATCTTGGGCAAGTTATTCAACCTCTTGACATCACTTTCTCATCTGCAAAATAAAGATACTTCTTGGCATCCATAAAGGGCTGAGCATGGTGTTAACACATAGCCGACGTTCAATAAACCGTAACAAAAATCCCAGCCCTTTGCTCAAAATAGAACTCTCAAAAGAAAATTGTACCATGGCAACAAAAAAAAATCTCTGACAAAGCAATTTTTAAAACACATCACATCTATATTCTATTCTATGGCTTCTTTTTCGGAGGGGGTGAATAGTGTTTACAAACAATTCTTGACTACTGGTGGCTCTTGGGACTAATAACGGGGTGAAAACACGAAGTCCACAGGATGATGTTCCCCAGTGATTCCCACCAACAGAACCTGGGACAAGCATCATTCTCACTTGCAAGCGCGGTGCCCTGTCCTAGCCGCTGACGAAGGTGCGGGGAGGCTGAGCATTGGCCACTGCTCCAGGCAGGGGGGCTGGGCAGCAAGAGAGCGGGGAAGCAGTCTGCCCTGGGGGTTGGTGACGAGTCTACAGTTGCCACTGAAGCCTAGGTGCCTCTTCAGCCTTTCATATGAAAATCAATCAGAATTTCAAATACCGGGGATGGGGGCATTGTTGTAATTATTGGAGATTTAGCAAATAGTTACTTGGGAATTATAAAAAGCAAATATCTAGTATAAATAGGAGGCCTATGTTACTTTATAAATTATCTAGAGAGCTTCTTAAAACCAATCAAAAATAATGCTGAAATCTTAGTCACTGTCACCCAAAGATTTCCTCCCCCTACTGCAAGAAAGTTCCTGCCTCAAGTCAGAAACGCCTGCTAACAGACTAAAAAGGATAATGCACAGTTGTTTATGCTCTTGAATAATAAAAGTAGTACACAGCCCTCTTTTTTTTTTTTTTTTTTGTAGCCTCTATGGCATTTCCCCGCTAATGCTACTCCAGCTGCAGCGTCCCTCTGTTTCAGTAATGTTGCAACTCTCAGCACTTCTAAGTGCTGGGTTCTCTGGAGAGATAGAAACAGCTCCCCCAAGCAATGGCTGACTACAGCAGGAGGACCTCAGGCTCTGTTCGGAACCTTCTGTTGATTATGGTAGCTGACACCACCAATGCCCTCCAGGATATTCATGGGCAGAGGAAACACGATGGTGGAATTCTTCTCCGTGGCCACGGTGGTTAGGGTTTGCAGGTAACGCAGCTGCAGGGCTATGGGGGACTCGGCCAGCACCATGGAGGCTGACTTCAGAGATTTGGAAGCATTCATTTCTCCTTCCGCTGCAAGGACCTGAAACGGCAGGAAATAAAAGAGCTCAGAAAGAAAAGCTTACAACGGTGACTAAGGATCTCTTTTTTCTGGCTGCGTCCCAATGCCTGCCTGCCTGTGAGTTTCATGGAGTTACTGCTTTGACGAGGGTGAGAGTTTCACATCCTAATGTGATTAGGGGAATTTGAGGAGGTTGAAGGAAGCAGGGAGATATTTTTACAAATTACGAGTCCCTAGATTTCCTTTGCAAACAAAATAAAAGCACCATCTTTAACCCCAACAAATCCTGGGCGGTCTGCGCCCCAGTGATGCTGGCCGATCACCCCGGAGCCTCCCCATCCCCTGCGTTAGCTTTCACAGAAGTTTGAAATTCAAGGCCTCCGCTTGGCTTCTCTCTGTTGTCCTTACTTATCCTAGGAGATGTTTTTTCCTTTTATTCTGTTGCCAGTTTAGCCTCATCCTTACAATGTAAGGACTATTTCACGTTCTCTCTGCTCTTGATTACCGGGAGCAGCAAGTGCCGGTCTGAGAACACCCATTGGAAGGCTCTCTTAAGTGCTGGCTCCCCTTCTAGTTCTCTCCTGCCCAAGACAGATTTGCACCTCGGTTGCCCCAGCCATGGGCACTCACTGCCTCTGTGCCAAAGTGCCCTCCAAGTCCACTGCCGAGAAGCTGCTGGAGCTTCACAAATAAACCAGAGATGGGGAAGGGAAGAGGGCAGGAAGACTCATCGGTTCTTGAGGAAGATTCTGAGTTGGGTACGCAAAAGGCTTCTCATCTTCCTTGGTTTCTGATACTCCAGGAAACCCATCCCCGCAGACATGGCTATAGGTCCCGCAGAAGGCTGTAGGTCCAACAGACTCAAGAACATTCGAGACCAGCGTATGTTTACAGTTTGTCATTCTAACTTGGATTGTGAATCCAGCACACTTACCACACGCAACAGTAATGTTCAAAAGATGGGCACCGGGTTGGCTACCGCCGAATCACCAGCTTTCAGAGGGTGACTACACCCATTGTGATGAGTACTGAGCAACGTACAGCACTGAGTAATGTACAGGATTGTCAGATCAATATGTTGTATACCTGAAACTAATCTAGCGTTGTCTGTCAGTTACACTCCGATAATTAAAAAAAAAAAAAATCAGAATTACTAGCTTTATACGAATGTAGATTCCTGAGCCACAACAGACTCAGCTTCACCGAGTGTGAGGTGAGGCCTGAGAATTAGTGTTTGCTATGTTGAGTTATCTCTAGGGGACTGAAATGCAGCCAGACCTGGGATCCACCTTGCTAAGTCACTGGGCATGTTGCTGAGCAGCCCCTGTCCCAAGACCTGTTGCCCTACTTCCTCAAAGTACATTAAGCTGCCCCATTGCCTTTTAATTCAGGACGAAATTCTCAGTAAAAACTGTGAAAAAGAAACCCTTTTCTTATCAAAATCATTGAGAAGGCCTGATCTTCCATTCAAGGTCTATTTTTGTCTGCTCCAAAGCTAGGCATCTTGCCTTCCAGTGTAGACAGAGTGGCTCTTACCCTGGCCCTGGCTTCCCGGGTGGCCTCAGCCTCCGCTGCCATGGACCGCTGTAGCTGCACCGGAATCCGGACATCTTTGATTTCCACCCGGGCCACCCGGATCCCCCACAGCTCGGTAGCATCATCAAGTAAGGTCTGTTTCCAGATCAAAAGAAAAGGCATCAGTCAGAAGACAGGGGATGTAAGGTTCTGATGTGCTTTATATCTGCAAGATAAATTCCTCTTCTTCTCCTTTTGTATTCACAGCATTTGGAGTGAGACAACTGGGGAAAGGAAAGGGAGTTCTTACTGATCACTCCCAGGAATTGAAGGGAATCCCGGGAAGGATTCAGAAGGAGAACCTGGGGGCGCCTGGGTGGCTCAGTCGTTAAGCGTCTGCCTTCGGCTCGGGTCATGATCCCAGGGTCGTGGGATCGAGCCCTGCATCAGGCTCCCTGCTCCATGGGAAGCCTGCTTCTCCCTCTCCCTCTCCCCCTGCTTGTGTTCCCTCTCTCACTGTGTCTCTCTCTGTCAAATAAATAAATAAAATCTTTAAAAAAAAAAAAAAGAAGGAGAACCTGACAGATCTTTCAGGAGGTATCAGGACTCACCCCCAAACTATTCCTAATGAAGTATATGCCATCCCTCTAGAGTTGAGCAAATACCCCACATTTTCTTGTCATTGACATTAAGCCAGCAGCAATGCATGGGCTTCTCAGATACTCCTGGATTTTGTCCTGGCTCTGCCATTTGCAGCCGTGAATCACTGGGCCAGTTCCTTAACCTCTCTGATTCTTCGTTTTCTCACCTATAAAGGTTTCCTTTCAGGATTTTCATGAGATTTGGAGATAATACACGTAAGAGATCTACCAATGCCTCGCAATAACTCAATAAATATTATTGGGTACTTGTTGAGATACTCTGTGCCTCGCCCTAGTGAACCCCTGTCCTGTGGCCAGTTTTAAACAGGTAGCCAGGCATATTTTTTTTGAGAGCACCATAGCCTAAAATCAAAGATATGCTTGTCCTTTTAAAAACTGAAGACCACTGAGGATGTCCTGTTGGTTATCCTGCAGAGGGAGGGGTGAAGAAGAATGCTTTGCCAAAGGAGTGAGACCAGACGGCGAGTTCCCTCCGAGGCCAGGGGCAGAGATCCTCACTACCAAATGGCAAGCAATCGCTTGCCTCGCTACGATTTCTAGAGAACTGTGGGAGACGGTGAGACCTCCCGAGAAGCCGGTGACCTGACTGTGGCAGGGGAAACATCTGAGCTGTCAAACTTATGGGGCTCTTACAAATGATATGGAGAGTTACATAGTACCAACACTATCTCAGAAAGCCTTAGGGTCTTTGTGCCACATTAAGCACTGGAAGAGATGCCAAGGACCAAAGCTGAAATTCCCTCCTAACGTACAGCAGGGAGGCTCAGAATCAAGACATTCTTGATTTAGGACCACACAGAAATGTAATTGTCTATAAACTGGGGTGTGCAAGAGTTGAGATGGATACCTGCAACATCCTCATCAATATTAGGGTTACTTTTTTAAAGATTTTATTCATGTATTATGATTACTATCACGATAATTACTGATATAGGTGGCACCATGTCAGATTTTCCAGGGATGGCAGGCCTGCGATGTCTTGGTTGAATGCTGTTCTAATAATATTCCACTGACATGCAGAAATACATGGGCTGTCTGAGAAGTGGTGACCTTTCTTCTCGAGTAACTCGAATTTAAAATGATGCTAACCTCTTCAGAAAAGGCTACTGTGTACAATGCTAACTCATGTGTTGAATTTCAAAGAAAACGGGTAAGCTGTACAATTCCTACAGCTCCCCTTCTCCTGCTCAGATATTTAAATCTATACCTTGTGATTGTAAAGGAATAAAACCACAAACTGAAGCCAAGTGTTTATAGCAGCTCTGTGTGTGTGTGTGTATGTGTGTGTGTGTGAGTGCGCGTGCATGCACGGGAGAGGGATTCTTTGAACTACTGATATTTGATCATCACTGATAATTAAAATAAATGAACTAAAGACACAGGTTATTTGTTCTCAGCATCTTTACCTGGATGCTATGGGCAATCTCTTCTCGGCCAGCTAAAATTTGGGACAGGGTCTGCGTCCCTAAGACATTTCTCAGAGTAGTCTGAGCCAGCAGAAATGTGGCTTGGTGGACATCGTTGACGTTAGCCACTGCTGAGACAGCACTATAGATTCTGTAATAGACGACTCCATCCACTTGAGTAGTCACGGAGTCTCTGGTGAGGATCTGGAGAGCAAGGACAGGGAAAATCGCATGTTTATTATGACGGTCACAGTGACTGACAAAGTGTCAGCCAGCCTAAGAGCCCTCTCCCCAGGAGGAGAGCATTCATGACAGTTCATGCCAGCATCACCCAAACTCTGCCCTGGCTCGAGTATAATGTCATCCTAGGTGGTGACAAAATCTGGTGACAAAATCCTTATCCAGCCCTGCAACTTCATCTTAGGCAAGTCTTAGGACCCCACAGGCAGAGGCTCTTGATATGCCATGGGGAGCATAAGCACTTCTATTTTAAAATGTGGCAAGTAGAAACTTTGTGGAATTCTACCTTCTACACAGAGATAGAACACTTGTTTCCCTGATACCTGAAATCTTTTTGGTTTTCAGTTTTTATCAGATTTGATGAATAGCAGTGCTTCTTAGAAAACATAGATGTCACCAGAGACTGGGCTTTGTATTCACATAAAGAGAAATCTATTTGCTTTCATCGAGGTTTTGCATTAATCATCCTGAATAATGAGACGAGGTGCTTTGCAGCCACTGAGAGCTCTCTGGCAGGACTGTAGGAGCAGAACCTAGAGCTCCCTTCTCCCATCCAGAATGGTGGACCCTGAGGCCAGAAAAGGCCCATGATAGGTCACTAAGCATCTCCAACTCTCTTACGACACAGGCTGACTCCTAAAGTAAGGACTCCGTAATTCCCACCAGTGACATGGTGACGTGATTGTTGGGTCATGACTGAGTTTCCTGGACCAGAGAGAAGAAGATTAACATGGACTCATAATCCTCTCATCACCTCTGCCCTCCCACATTTCCTTTCATTGTTTTGGTTCTTAGTAACTGTTTCTCTTCCCTATTGTCCTGTTACTGGCCTTGGATATTTAGTTACAATACTTTAAGAACCAAAAAGAATTATTTGAAATCCAAAAGCAGGTGGGCTCTGTGCTCGTTCCTTACACCCACCCACTGTGTTGCATCCAATCACACACAAAAAAGTGAATGATAGAGATTTTACTAAAATATCTTCTGGAAAGGTGACAGCAAGGATAATATCCTAACCAAACCCTACCCTCCACCAAATTAAATTCAGCTCCTTTATACAACGACTTAGCTGACTCTCCCAAGCATCTTGGCGGCTGCTCTCCATCCCAGCTTCTCTGCCAACTGCATCTTTTCTCTCTCTTCTCTGGGACTTTCCCCTCTGAGTCATTCCAAGTCTTACAGCAAGCCAGCCCTCGCCCTTGGCTTCATTCTCAATGGGAAAAGCAAAACTCAGTGGTTTTAGGACCCACCCAGGGCTCCTCAAGCAGGTCCCTTGTAATTTGAAAACACAATGTAAAACATCAACTGTCCGTGGAACAGGGAAGATAACAGGTTTTATTTCTAATGACTTATCTTTAACCGGCATTACCTCTTGTGGAGGAATGTTGCAAGTAACAGTTCGGAGATCAACCTTGACAAATACATCTATGCAGGGCAGGACCAGGATCAAACCTATGAGAGAGAAAATATGAATTTTACCCTATTGAAACTTTTACCCTATTGAAACTAACTGCAACAAATTGTCTCCTAACGATATGATACATTATTTTCAAGGGACTGCAAATGCTTCTCAGAGGATCTTCAATATGAACACCTCTAACTTTGGGGAAAATTAGTTCCTCCTACTAGTCAGTGACTAAAGAAAAGTGGTTCCCTAGAGATTAAAATCTTGTGGTAAAGAGCTAAAGATCCTTGACATTTAATTTTTAGATTTTATTTTTAAAACACTCAACTTACTTCTATCCAAGTGTTGAATTTGACATTAATTTAAAAGGATATTTTGGAAACTGGTGTCCTTTTTAAAGATATTCATACAAAAGATTTAAGTAATAGATTTTTAACCTTAAATATCAATGACTCTCAACATTCTCATTCATCTTCAATAGTACTGAAAAAATAGTGGAAGCAAAATCTTCTCAAGATTTCAGAGTCCCTAAAGGCAATGTATTTCAGAATTTGCTGTTTCTCCAGAGCTGTGTTCTAGTTCAAGTATAACGGCATTCCCCAATTATAAACACTCTTACTTCTTTTTGAATTGTGAAGTATTTGGGTTTGGGGCTGGGTGGGGGAAGGATGGGGATAAGAAAATTCAGTTGAAGATCCCATGCATGAACCCCTGACATAAGCTTGGTGAATGTTCTCTACAGCAAGAGTCACCAAGATTAGAACCACAAAGCATGTCAGCAAGATGCGGACACCAATCCATTTCCATTCACCAGAAAGATTTTGTGCTGTTGTTTTTGTTTTCAAAGAAGAAACAGGTTTGTAGGTTGCATACCTTGCAAAGGGCTGGTAACATCAAAGGAAAACACTGCTAAGGTGCTTTCTTTCTTTTGGTCTCTCAACTCTCCTGAGACTTGTAGTGAGGATTGCTGCTTAATTTACTTCCTTATTTGGTGTCAGGTCACTGGTTGAGGTCGTGGCCCCTAAAACTAGAGGGTTAAGTCCTAGCCCTCGCCCTTACTAGCTTGTGACCTGGGAACACTCTCATAACTTTCCTGAGCTTCAGTTAGTTAATCTCTAGAAGATGGTAGTGAAGATTAAGCATGATTCAACATGATAATGAAATAAAGTACTAAACACAGTGCCAGGTATGTATTACTTGCTCAAGAAGTGGCACCACTTATTATTAATACTTTCATTATTAAAGAATAATTTACAATTTACAAAAGTGGAGAGGTTTTCCATTAGCAATTTGGCTTGTTTCTCTCTAGCTCTTACGGCTTTCTGAGGTAACTCATTAGCCCCAGAGACATGTATGACGAGAGTAGTTATCCTGGGACATTTAGTGGTGAAATCTTCTGGGAAAATTCATTTAAAAGAGATCCACTTTTCTCTAGAGCCCTCCAAGTTATGGCTAGTCTACTTCTCTCAAATCCAGTTTTACTCTAATTTAGAAGCTTGGCCCCACCAGATGCAACATGACCTGGAAGGGGTCAACCTTGGTCTGTTACACCTCAGTTGGATGAGTCTAACACTTCTGTTTGGATGAACTCATAAGAATATCCATAATAAGTCATTCTTGCACTCTTTCCCTTCAGGTCCTTTATGAAATTAGACAAGTAGGATTATACTACCTGAAACGACCAAGCCTCTTTAACAAGCTTCTGCTTTTGAAATTTCTCATATTTTCTTTTAATGCAACAGATATCTAAGTGCCTACCATAGTGCATGGCCAAGTGTAGAACAACACATGCAGTATCACAGTGACTAAGAAAGTCCTTGCCCTGCAGAGAACTTATAGTCCAGTTGGAGAGAGAATGTGTTGACTCAAATACATCATAATAGAGGGCAGAAAACAAATGTTATTAAAGAACTATTGCAAATAACCATTCTTTCTCATGTATCTTGTAAGATGCTATTTTTGATGGCCTCTGCTTCCAAAATATTAGAATTTATCATATGAAATTGTCATGCTTGCAAATCAAAAAAAAATCAGCAATTTCATATTGTTCAACTACATATACACCAAGAGAAGTTATGAGAATTAAATCAATACCTAACGTCTAGAGTTTTAGTACCTAACACCTTCCCATGTCCACTCCCCACCCCCCAAAATCCCATCCTCTTATAACATGAAGAATTTGGAACAGTCTTCATTCTAAGGTAGAGAAAGCATGGAAAGAAACACTACATTTGACCAAAGGAGTTGTGCGATAGATTCTCGCTCTCTATTTCCATTAGTCTACTTGCCAGGAGAAGAAACTACCTTTTACTTGGAAAAGTAAAAGGTTAGCTCTTTTCAAAGGGTGAGAATCAAAAACCAGCTCCTGGAATACTCTCTCTGAGTAACTTAATCGTCTACCTTGGCCATTTACTCCCTCCCTTCATTCTTCAGTCATTCTTCTAGTGGTCTTGATAATAAGGGACGTCCGGCCAATGTAACAGAGCCACGTTTTGCTCCCATTCACTGACTCTCTCAGAGGGAATGCTAGGAAACAGGGCTGGATTTCCAGCCTCTCAAACTAGAGGTCTAGCGGTGACTCCTGTTCACTTGCCTAACAGAGCAACATCTTTCTTTCCATTGTACAGACAGGTAAGGGCTCCAGCTTCCTGTGACTTTTCTTTGCTTCTCAAGAGAGGCTGCCGGGGAAAATTTCTCAGCGGCAACAGTTAAGTATTAGGTGGCCATGATCCTTGTCGGGGACAGCCACAGTGTCCTACCTGGCCCTCTGGCTTTGTCAGCTTGGATGCGTCCCAGTCGGAATACAACAGCACGTTCATACTCCTTAATGATCTAAGAGATTAAGGGAGAGCATTTAGTCCTAATGGTTCATCAGCTCACAGAGAGAGCCCAATTTATTTCCCAGGGTGTTACCTTCAAGCACATCCATATGGAGATGGGGAAGGTAATGATCATCAGCAACAAAGAAAGGGAAAAGAGGATCCAGCCACATGCACCGAGCCGTTTACTGCTGATGCCTAAGAAATGAGGAGGAAGCAAGCCTGTAACTTACATGGTTCTTAGAAAAGCCATTCAGCTGCATGAGTAAGGCTATTACCCAGTGCGCTGGCCACGCCTGACGTCACCGAGGAGGAGATCGAAACCCATGCACACCCGTAAATGCAGTAAACACACACATACACACACACTGTTCATTCAGGGTTTTAGATTGAAATTGACCTGTCCCTTCCAAGAAAAGTCTCATAGAATCAATAATAACAAGTACCATTATATTTAGTAAGAATGACATGGTTTATTATCCTCAAAACACATAAAACACTGTTACCCAGTGTATAATTCATGGACTACCTCCATCAGAATCATTAGGGTACCATTTCAAAAGACAAATTCCTGGGTGCCCAGGATTCTCCAGGTTGAAATTGAAGACAATCTCTGAGGTAGAGAGGTAGGTACTATTATCCCCAAAGGCAGACAAGATGGCAAGAAAAACATTTTGAAGAGGCTGTAGGTAGGAGTTTCTATGAGAGCTCTCTTACCCACCAGTGTTGTGGCTTTGGGTAAGCCACTCAATCTTTCTGAGCCTCCACTTCTCCATCTATAGTATGGGGATAGAAGTCAACCACCTTGAAGGATTTGACAAGGACTAAATGAGATTTTTTTTTTATATGGCACTTGGTCCATACATTAATATCTACATTAGTAAATGCATATTACTACTTTATTCCCATTTTACAGATACTACAGGGACTTGTCAGACACTGATATTTGACAATTCTGACTTTTCAAGGAATTTTATTACATTGGCTCATTACATCGGTAGTCTTTTTGCTAATCACACATTATGATAACAAGGGCATTTTGGCTTAAAGAATATTGCCCTGCAATGTTGAGTTCAAATCATACTTCAGTCCCCTAAAACTTTGTAGCCTTAATCACTTCAGTTACACAATTTCTCAAGTCTTAGAACTCCAGTTTGTAGAACACACAAGTCTGGCTGGCCCTTTTATTCTTATTTTATTCTTTTATTCACTATTCAACTTCTTTTAAATCCTCATTCCTTCTTGTTCTCTTCTTGACAACCGCCCGCATCCTCACCCCACACTTCCTCCAACAGATTCATATTCTCCACACAAGCACCCGAATTAACTATATGTACTAGATATCTTCACCCAAATAACTCCACAAACACCTTCCGCTATCCCTAGCTTAATTAATGCCTAACCATCCACGTTATTGTCCACGTTAGAGACACAGGGTTATCACTGCCCCTCCCCTGTCCAACTGCAGAAGTCACTAGGTCAAGCTGGTACCACCTCACATCCATCCTCACTTATCCATTTTATTGCCCCTGACTCATCAGTGCCCACGCCATAGGTTTATGAACATTCAGGACGTTCTAGGATTTTGCTCTTAAAACGATGCTGTGATGAGTGCTTTTTAATATGTGTTTTTGTACACTCACGTAGGGTAAATGCCAGGCAGGGAAAGTGTTAGGTCAAAGAGATTAGTATTTCCAATTATTTAGATGATTAAGTGCCCTTCAACGAGTTTGTACCAATCTGCACTCTCATCAATAGCACACTGTGATGCTGCCTACTTCCCCATGCCTGGTGCCAGTACCCACCAGGTACTTTCTCGATTAGTGCAGTCCCATAGATGGGAACTATCTACGTCTTCGTTACATATTTAGTATTAAAAACGTTTTGTGCAGATGTCCTTTAATGGGCTCTAAATACACATAAAGATATACCCGATAGCAATAAGGACTTGCCTGCATACCCAAAGTTCGTATTTTTAAAATACCACCTTCTGAAGCCTTGGACCCTGGTGAGGTGGATTGGACTATCATTATGTAGGATAAAAAAACATTTTGTGCATTCTCATAGAATCTTTGTTGCATTTTGTTTATCAGTGCTTTTTTTAAATTACTGTAATGACACAGCCTGTATATAAACATTCTCATTGTAAAAAAAAGAAAAAAATCAAGGCAATACAAATAAAACTGAAGTCCTCCAATCATCCTCTCCCCAGTCCACTTTTATCTAGAGAGGTCCCATTGTTATTGATTTGGTGTATTTCATGATTGACCCATTCCTATGTATTTATACATATATGTCTATCCTCAGAAAACACTTGGCTTAGATTTGTAGATTTGGTGAGCTATGGCACCATTCTAACACTTCTACTGTTTTATTTTATTTATTTATTTTTAAGATTTTATTTATTTATTTGAGAGAGAGAGAGTGCGAGAGAGAGTACAAGCAGCGGGAGTGGCAGAGGGAGAAGCAGACTCCTGCTGAGCAGGGAGCCTGACACAGGGCATGGGGCTCCATCCCGGGACCCTGGGATCATGACCTGAGCCGAAGGCAGCCGCTTAACCGACTGAGCCACCCAGGTGCCCCAACACTTCTATTTTTTTAAAAAACTGAATATATCTAAGAGATATTTCCATGTCAGTACATGCAGGTCTACCTCCTTCTGCTTCATTGTCACACACGGCTCTATCCTGCACCTGTGTCTCAGTTTATGTAGCCATTGGACATTAAGGTCACTTGTACTTCTGCCCCTACCAACAAGGCTGACATCATGGTGCTCGTACACGCCTCTCTGGGACCAGCTGTAATTTCCTGGAATCTCGGTGAATGAGTTGAGAAGGCAGCACGGTTCCGGCCACCCGGGGTGTATTTCCCCGCTGCTGACGCTGCAATCATTGGTATTCAGGAGCCTTGGAGTGTCCCGGGGCTGTGACTTTAGCAGGGCAACCCCCACAAACAGCTGGAACTCCACCAAGATCCCAGTTACGCTTTATGCCCCGAGCAAGCACTAGACATTTCCAGGGTAGCTACAGCCTGAACACCCAGCTGCATAACCAAGTGTTTGTGGCACAACCTGAGGCCTGACCCGTAGGCCTTCCTCCGGAGCCCCACCAAGCCCTTGCATTGCATGACAACCTGTGGGTAAGGCTCTGTTAGGTACTAACCATGCTGAGACAAGAGATGAGGGCATGAGTCATGTTCCAAGATTTACACTTGAGCTTTAGAATCACCCAGGCCACTGCCGCCGGGAGAATTGAGAATTCTGGAGCCTGGGGGTGTCATTAGCTGCAGTTAAAATGGGGCTGTGAGCACAGTGGTCAGCTTCCCTGCAGGGCCCAGCCGCCAGCCTTGTGAGCCAGCTGCACAGGCTTCGAGCGGAGGGACTCTTTCAGCCTCCCCTCACGGTGAGCCCAGGAAGCCTTGCGGGGAAGTGGACCCGAGAATCCCAATTCTGACTGAAAAGAGATGCAGGGATTGTGTTACAAAGGCTCTTCAGAAACCTCCCATACTGCCTTCACTTCAGCCTTCACAAGGGTGCTTCCAGAGCCTTCCCTGGAGGCTAAGGGGATGGTGGAGGGAAAGGGCCCCACGCAACCTCTGCATTAACCCCGCAAGCCCTTAGCACACCTAACCATCTCCATCTTTCTCCAAATCCGTGGATGTGTATTTTCTGTGAGTAATTGCCATAATACCGTATGGCCATCATCGTCTGCTTACTTCGCAGCAGAGAACTGGATTTTGCCACCCCCAACAGATTGCTCCAGATCTCTCATTCACCCATTTGACAGTATTTTGCCAGTTCTATACCAGGCACTATGCTAGAGCTGAGGATTCAAAGGAGAATAGGGATGGGGAACTTCCCAACAAGGGTTCACGTCTAGCAGGAGACAAAGGCAGTAGGGGCAGGTATAATAATAAGGTCCAGTCTCTGCTGTGCCTCCTTCTAGGAAATAAGTGGGGATTCCCTTCTGTATGTGGCTGGGACAAAGAACAGCAGAATGTTTAGTCAACACATTTCCCTCAGTCTGGAAAGAGAAGGGCAGAGCCGTAATGCACAGAACCTGGGGCCCCACGCTGCTGACACTGGAGAGGCAGACCCTGGGGCTTCAGGTGGGAAGGACTTGAGGGATAACCAAGGCCAACCCTTCATTCTGCAGCCAGAAAATCTGGTTCGTGTTGTCATCAGCATCTTAATCTCTCTTTAAGTAAGGTGGGACCCACAAGTTCCACAAACTGACAGACATTCATGTCTGCCTTTAATGACTTACAGAGTGAGGCAAGACCAAGCTTCACTTGTAGAGGCTTGCCTCTGGGGCTTTGTTCCCGGTACTTAGCTACAGCCCATAGCCCCGGACGAACCTTAAATGCCCTCTAGGACTAGGGGTAAACGCTTAAAGCAAGATTGGTAACCTGCGCAAGGCCAGGAAGTAGGGGAGATTATTCCAAATCGCTAGCCCCACATACATGGCACTAGTGGTAGACATGAATTTTAGTAAATAAAACAAGCTAGGTGACTTGGTTGCTTATTTCTTATTTTGGCTTGGTGAACAGTATTTAAATATGAGATCAATACTACATCTAATCCTTGCCCCCAGATCTGTGTTACTGTAAAATAGCTATTTCTTCTCTAAGCAGAAATAGCTGTTGAGGTATTATGACATTGTTTCAAAACCCCCAAACAGAAAGATGTATATAACTACAATGAGATCATAATACACAGCTTCTAGAATGGCAAACATAAAAGACGGGACAATATCCCATTCTAGCAAGGTTGTGGAGCAACCTGAGCCCTCATGTATGCAAACTGATACAATCATCTCGAGAAACTATTTGAAAGTATCTACTAAAGCTAAACACATACTTACTCTATGACTCAGTATTCCACTTCGAAGTAATACCTGAGAGAAATGAGTGGTGATTACAGTGAAAACCCATTCAAGAATGGTCCTTGCAGAATTCTTAATCTCAGGAAACAAACTGCTGAGGGCTGCTAGAGTGGTGGGGGGTGGGAGGGATGGGGTGGCTGGGTGATAGACATTGGGGAGGGTATGTGCTATGGTGAGCGCTGTGAATTGTGTAAGACTGTTGAATCACAGACCTGTACCTCTGAAACAAATAATACATTATATGTTAAAAAAAAAAAAAGAGAGAAGATAGTAGGAAGGGAAAAATGAAGGGGAGGGAATCGGACGGGGAGAGGAA